AACTTATTTTTCTTAAAACATAGAACAGTAAATAAAGAAGTAAAGTGAACAATTATTTCTTCCAGTTACGACCTTTGTACTCTGTTGCTTCTTGATATAGATTGCTAAGCCTTTAAAAAATGTGCACGTGGAGGATATGAAACAAAATAATTTTTTTTTAGGTTTTATATATACATTTGAATAACTAAAAAATAATAAATTACTACATTAATACCATAGAATTCTATTATAATTTATCAAGCTTAGTAATTAAGATGTATTTTAGTCTAAAAAAATATTAAATTTTGAGCTGACTAAAGACACACCCTACCTCGTTGAAATATTCATTCGAAAGAAAGAAATGGCGCCATGCCCTTTAAAATGGCTGACAAAGCCACTAGGGGGACATTCTGAGCTTTGGATTGGTTATTCATGTTGTATATAGAAGTAAGTGTATATAAGGGAGCATTTCCAAAATTGGAAAGAGGTGGGTGGGGTGCCACTTTGTTTGATTTATTACATGAGCAATACCTTAGCAAATTGAAAAGATACAAGGCTCTTATTTTATATTCTAGCTTGTGATTATCAGTAATTTGAGTTTCTAATTCATACAAAACTATAGACTTAGTATTTCGACATCACAAACATCTAATTTCAACATACCACGTGACACACAAAAATTGATGTTTAACTGTGTTTTTTTAATATTTACCTTTAAATTAAGAAATTGAGTAATATATAGAGTACTAAAATTTGAATTATAATCTACAGTTTGATACCAAACTTATTGACAAAAATTCATGAAATAGTAATTCAATAAAATTTTGAATGCGAGTCAACAAACGAGATGACATAGCCTTTCACCCATGACCCATCTCGAAAGGGTTAACATCAGTTTTGTTTTTGTGTTGTATTGGTTTAACAACAACTTTATTTCTGTGTTGTACTGAGTTAACAACAACTTTGTACTGGGTTAACAATAGTTTTGTTTTTGTGTTGTGCTGGATTAACAACAACTTTGTTTCTGTGTGTACATGTTTAACAACAATATTTCTGTGTCGTATTGGTTTAACAACAACTTTGTTTCTGTGTGTACTGGTTTAACAACAGTTTTGTTTTTGTGTTGTGCTGGATTAACAACAACTTTGTTTCTGTGTGTACATGTTTAACAACAATATTTCTGTGTCGTATTGGTTTAACAACAATTTTGTTTCTGTGTCGTATTGGTTTAACAACAACTTTGTTTCTGTGTGTACTGGTTTAACAACAACTTTGTTTCTGTGTGTACTGGTTTAACAACAACTTTGTTTCTGTGTTGTATTTGTTTAACAACTACTTTGTTTCTGTGTTGTATTGGTTTAACAACAACTTTGTTTCTGTGTTGTATTGGTTTAACAACAACTTTGTTTCTGTGTTGTATTGGTTTAACAACAACTTTGTTTCTGTGTTGTATTGGTTTAACAACAACTTTGTTTCTGTGTGTACTGGTTTAACAACAACTTTGTTTCTGTGCGTACTGGTTTAACAACAACTTTTGAGGTAACTATGTTCTTTAAATGTCTTCATTGTAATAAGGACAACATTAAAAAGAAGTAGTGATCCTAAATATTTTGTAATTTAGAACAGGTATTTAGAAAGTAGAATGGACACTGATTTGAGGAGTGAGCTGTGTCGGTCTTTCACTTCTGTCCTTGTTGATAACCATGTAAATAGGGTAATTGGTAAGTAATAATTTTTTCCAAAACATTTTAGATTTTTAAATGTTGTTGATTTTAGCATGTTTGGTTAAATCTTTCGACAAGGGGTCAGTCGATTTGACCGGGTCACGTGATTTTCTGTACTCGTTTTAACGTTGACAACAATTTAATACTTATAACTTTATATATTGGGTATATCTTCACGAAATTTGACAGTCTTTCAGTTAATATTACAAGTCTTTTACATACAAAAAGTCATATTTCTTAGTGAAGTACTTTTAATAAAATAAAATAAAGTATTGTCTATGAATAT